CCTCCCTCCCTCCCTCCCTCCCTCCCTCCCTCCCTCCCTCCCTCCCCTCTTTCTTTCTTTCTTTCTTTCTTTCTTTCTTTCTTTCTTTCTTTCTTTCTTTCTTTCTTTCTTTCTTTCTTTCTTTCTTTCCTGAAACAGAAAAGAAAATGTAGCCTTGGCTGTCCTAGATCTCATTTTGTAGATCAGGCTGGCCTAAAACACTGCCTCTGCCTCTTGAGTGCTGGGATTAAAGGGGTGAGCCACCACTGCCCAGCTGGAGGCATTTTCTCAATTGAGGTTCCCTTATTTCAGAAGATACTAGCTTGTGTCAAGTTGACATAAAACCAGCCAGCACAGACGTCTTCCCCCTAAGAAAATGTGAAGCAGAGACCAATGACTGTCATGAGTGTGCTGCCCAGGTTCCAAATGTACGACATTTCCATTCCTAAGTTTCCTCTGTAATCCCACAGGCCGGAAGCCCTATATGAATCTCTGCGTTTCTATTTCCTGGTCACCTGGGAGTAAGAGGCTCCTGAAATAGCTTAGAAAGCATCATTCAGTGCAACTCAATTTAACTCAAGTCAACAGATGTTTGTAGACATTTCTAGAAGTTGGGGGCACTATGTGGTGGGAAACAATGAAAATCATAGCTAACATGCGTAAAAGACAAAATCAGATCTCAGTTGGGATGCAGATGTTGGTGTCTAGGGACCTTGACTCTGAGCCCTGCTCCGTAGCTTACTGTGTGACTTTGATCAGTAACTGAACTTTCCTTTTTTTTTTTTTTTCCAGGACAGAATTTCTCTGTGTAACAGCCCTGGCCATTCTGGGACTAGTTCTGTAGACCAGGCTGGCCTCAAACTCACAGAGATTCGCCTGACTCTATCTCCTGAGCTCTGAAGTTAAAGGTGTGTGCCACCACCTCTGCAGACAGTAGCTAAATTTTTTTGATATTTGTACATGGGAGGAGGAGAATCTGTTCCTGAAGGGCTGCTCTGAAGATGACTGCAGAGACATAAGATCAGCTATTTGAAAGTGTATGCAAGGCTACTGAGTTCCTTACAAAGATGGGGTGGTTTAGGGAACATGGTGGCATCGACTTCACTTCGGTGGGCATGGTGAAAGCCTCTTTCACTGACCATTATGTTTTGATTGTCTACTTGCTTGTATTAATAAAGGCCTAGACTATGATGGAGGTGCACCTTTAAGTGGGTCTGTGGAGGGGTCTCCAGAAAGGATTAATCTACCCTTGAGGGTAAGTGCACTTGGGGTCCCAGGGTGGGAAAAAAAAAAAGAGAAATAGGAAAAATCCCATTGAGCATCTGTATTGCCCCTACCCCACTGCCTTGATCCAGCCAGATGTGAGCAAGCAGCCTGATGCTCCTGCTCCCACAGGCTCCGGCTGTTCCTGCCATCATGATGGACTGTGTTCTCAGCCGCTGTGCCAGAAGAATGCATTCCTCTCTGCTGTTTGTTGGCAGGGATTTGGTTCTTCAGAGCAAGGAAAGAAATGGGTATACGCAATGCAAATATCTCTGCTACGATGTGTGAATAAATTCTTATGAAAATCATGTGTTTAAAACTTAATCTTCCGGACGGGAGAAGAGGCTCAGCGGTTAAGGGGCTGCTTTCCCAGAGGACCCGAGTTCAATTCCTAGCACCCACATGGCAGCTCACAACTGTCTGTAACTTCAGCTCCAGGGGATCTGACACCTTCACACTGAGTATATACAGGCAAAACACCAGTGCACATTAAATAAACAAATATCTACATAAAAAATAATCAGTTGTATTTTATGGGGTGGGGGCTCTGAGAAGTGATTAGGACTAGATATGGTCATGAAACGGAGATCCTCTGATGACATTAGTTTAACAAGAAAAGGGTAAGAAGGATGGGGATGTAGCTCAATTGGTAGCGTGTTTGCCCAGCATGAGCAAAGTCCTGGGTTTGATTCCAAACTCTACATGCAACAGGCATACTGACATGAGAGATGAAGAAGGCAGGAGGGTCAGAAGTTTGAGACCTTCTTTGGTGATGTGGCAAATTCCACACCAGCTTGGGATATAAGAAGTCCCTAACTCAAAATAAGATTTGTTTATTTTATGTGTATGATGTTGCAGGTATATATGCGCACTAGACATGTGTGTCTAGTCGTCACAGAGGTCAGAAGAAAGGACCGAATCTCCTGGAACCGGAGTTATCGATAGCTGGGAGTCACCATGTGGGTACTGAGAACAGAAGCCAAGTCCTCTGAACGAGCAACCCATGCTGTTAAGAGCTGAGCTATCGCTGGGCGGTGGTGGCGCATGCCTTTAATCCCAGCACTTGGGAGGCAGAGGCAGGCGGATCTCTGTGAGTTCGAGACCAGCCTGGTCTACAGAGCTGGTTCCAGGACAGGCTCCAAAGCCACAGAGAAACCCTGTCTCGAAAAACAAAACCAAAAACAAAAAACAAAAACAAAACCAAAAAACAAACAAACAAACAAACAAAAAAACAAACAAAAAAAGAGCTGAGCTATCTTTCCAGCCTCGATCACCGCTTTTAACCGAATACTCCATGTTGGTGGACAAATTAAAGAAGCACTCTTCTCCAGCCTTGGGGTTAAAAGGGAACAGAGACCAGCAGTGCTATGTATGGCTAGGAGGGGAAGGTTCGTGTGCCTCACCCCCTCCGGAGTTTTGGGTTGCTTGGACTGATGTCAGAATGAACTGTAAACAATGAAGAGAGAGGAAGTGAGGGACATCTTCTATCAAACGGCTGGAAAGCCCTGGAACTGCTGCAACTGCTTTCTGGGATGCAACTTCCCCAGTGTGGGGGTGATAGGGCCCCCCGGATCTCACATCATTCCTGGGATAAGCCTGCCTGGGGTACTGCAAAGAAATCCAACTAGAACAGCAGGCCTGAGAGAGGCTGCATTCTTTTCAAGGTCTACTTAGTTCAGTTGATATCACAAAGACTTCTAATGAGGAGACCGAGTTTTGGAACTCTTAGGAACTCGCCGCTATCAGCTAGTTAATCATTAGGTCAACTTGTACCTCTTGATGGCTGGGCTGACTGTGTAGATGGCAAGCTGACATTTTTGCTATTGCAGAATGAATTAGAGGTGGACCTGCTGCCCACCAAGGTGGATTCAGGCTTTCTTACATGTTGTCCTAGGGTTTTGTTTACCTGGAAACCTTGGCGTAGTGATATTTTGTTTGGGATCTAACAAATAAAGCTTGCCTGAAGATCAGAGGGCAGAGCTAAATCGCTAGTTAGTCACAGAGGCCAGGTGGTGGTGGCACACACTTTTAATCCCAGCACTCAGAAGACAGAGGCAGATGGATCTCTGTGAGTTCAAGGCCACCCTGGGCTACACGAGATTGAATCTATTTTTGTGTGAGTTCACACAAAGGTGATCCTAGCACTTGGGATCACATGCCTTTATTTCCAACACTACTAGGGAGGTAGAGACAAGGAGTGATATGGCTGGGCAGAGAGAGAAATAGGAGCTCAGATGCAATTTGAGGATTCAGTCTTAGATCCAGTCTGAGGATTCAGTCTAAGATGCAGTCTGAGGTTTCACAGAGACAGGATCACTGTTTTGGTCTCAGCATTGGCAGAGGTAGGAACTCTTTAGTGGCTGGCTGCTCTGCTTCTCTGATCTTTCAGCTTTCACTCCCTAATATCTGACTCTGGGTTTTATTATTAAGAACAGTTAGAATTCATGCTACACCTTGGACCCACATTTTCTTCTTTACTTCGTGCATAATAGGGGCTTAGGCTGTAATACAAAGCTCAGTTGTGACCATCTCAGTGTAACCATCTCAGTCCCAGCAGCTTTGGGGTGGAGCTCAATAGCAGAGTGCTTGTCTAGCAGGCAGAAGGTCCTAATATGACTCTTAGCAGGAAACTAAGACAACACCTGGAAGCTAAGGGCCAGAAAAGGAAGAAGGGAATGTATTTCCCAAAGCTAGCCTTCTGGCTGAGCAGATGGCTCTGTGGGTAAAGTGCTTGCCATGCAAGATCAATGACCTGACTTTAATCCCTAGAACCTGTGTGAAGAAAAGCTGGGCTTGGTAGCACAGGCCTGTGATCTTAACACTGAAGGGGGCTGCGAGGAACAGGAAGACCCATGGGACTCGCTGGCCAACCAATCTAATCTCCCTAATCTGTGGGTAGTAGGCCAATGGGAGGCTCTGTTTAAAAAAGACAACATGTGAGGTTGACCTCTGGTCTCCACAGGCATGCACACACAAACATGTACACACCACCATCATATATAGGCATGCACTCGCTTGTGCGCACAAACACACACACACATACACACACCCTCAGTGAGTACTGTGCTCTTGAGAAGTCTATGCGATTAGGGGCAGGACACCTCCTTAACAGCTGGTATGTTGCAGAGATTGATATATGTCATCTTTATAAGGACCTCTGTAAGTCAGGATGACTATACTTTTTACATACAAAAAACAAAAACCAGGATGTGATGAAGTTGTTTATTCGTTTGTTTGTTTTGTTTTTGTATGACATTCTCCAGCTCCTGGCTTTGTTCTTTCTACCCCACAAGACTCATTGAAGTGGAAGGTACAGGGCAGGAGGCTGGAAAATGAAGCCCTGTTCAAGACTGGTGCTTCCTGCTTGAGCTCATGGACGCTCCAGGAAGCCCAGTTTGGGAGTGGGCACACATGGTGATTTCTAGTGTGCACCATTCACGCCCTTGGCATCGCTATAGGTCAATGGATTTTTCTTGGTTAGAAATCAGGATATAGCAGGGCAGTGCTTTAATCCAAGCACTCGGGAGCTATGTCTCTATGAGTTTGAGGCCAACCTGGTCTACAGAGCAAGTTCCGGGACAGCCATGGCTACACAGAGAAATTCTATCCTGAAAAAGTCAAAACAACCAAAAAAAAAAAAAAAAAAAGCCAAACAAACAAAAAACCAGAAACCCCAAAAACAAAATAAAAATTTTTTTAAAGGAGAGAAATTAGAATTTAACAGCTTCAAACATCTGCACATCTGGACAAACTAAGATGGAAAGTCTTCAGCTATATGCGATGCTCCATATGCAAAGCTAGAGGGAAATGTCTCTTTCTCCTTCTCCCCCTCCTTTCTCTCGCTTCTCCCCCCCTTACCCCCCTCTTTCTTCCCCGTTCTTTTCTTTAAGTGGGTGTATTTGGTCATTACACCTGGTTAGAAGCCCGCGTTGGTTAGGCGTCTTTGGGTTGGAGCAGAAATTGCCTGTTAGTTGTGGACCGCGTCCAAGTCCCTGAACAGCCTGTGAGGAGATCTCCATATAAATGGTGCCTGCAGGACCTCCCTTTGAATGCCTGCTTGGTCTTGGGGGTTTGACATGGAGCCAGTTTGAGGGCGTTCCAGGAATTTCCCAGAGGGCCTCCCTCTCAGAAACTTCAAAGGAAGCCCAGAGCTCCAGCATCCCTTCCCTGGGGACTTCTGCCATTGAGAAGGAGGGAGAAAACCTGACTTCCAGGTTTCTGACACCTTTGTCCCCGTGGTGCTTTGAAAGTGCCCAGACCTGGTTGTTACCTCCTTCACTGGAGCCAGGACTCAGAACCATCAATGAACCAGGGCTGTGTTTAATTTTTAATACGCAGATGGCCAAAGTGTTTCCTGGGGTCTACACAGTTACTAATAATACCTTTAAAGAATTGAAATTAAATAATAATATCAATACTTTTGAATCTTGAATGTATAAGAATTTCTGTAGGGTCTGAGCTCTGACTTTTCATATACATACACATATGTGCACACAAACACACACAGACACATAAAACACCCACACACAGAGACACACACATGAATTTCTTTAACTTACTGATGCTGTTCGAACGCTCTGCAGCGCAGAAGTGAACTCTGGGATGTGATGTGCGAACTACAACAGTCACAAAACCTCAAAAAACAATGGTGAGAAACAAAGATGCCTTGGCAGAGTGAGGTGGTACGGGTGGCCTTAGCAGAGGCAGCTGGAGTTGGAGTCGTCTTCCCCTTGAACCGATATCCTGCATCCCTTCCAGCTGGGCCAGCACTAGGCTGCAATGAAAATAAGGAAGAAAATGCTTCAAAGAGCACATGGTGGGTTTTATTTGATTCTAATTCTTAAACGCTAGCAACCTCTGCTCTGTATGATCTGTTTGTATGTGCGGACACAGTCGTCTGTGCCTGGTGCATGGGCACTGTGTGTGGAGGCCCGAGGGATTTGATCTCAGGTGTTCTTCTTTAAAGATGGTTTCTCCTTGGCCTGGAACTTGTTAAGTAGGCTAGATCTGTCTATCTGTGTCTCCCGATGCTGGGATTACAGGTACACGGAACACAGATGGCTTTTTCTGTGTGGACCTTGGGGACCAAACTCAGGCCCTCGTGCTTGCAAGGTGAGTGTTTTACTGACTGAGTCAGCTCCATATCCCCTGCCACCTGCCTTTTTATTTTTTATTTTATTTTTCATTTTAAATGAACTCTTTCTGAATTGAGAGCATGTTTCATGGTTTTACTAGCTGTTTTATTTTTTCAGTGCTAGGAACTGAACCCAGGGCCTTGCACATGGTAGGTAAACACTCTTCACTGAGCTGTATCCTTAAACCTTAGGTATCCTAAAAGCTTCTGCACTAGGTGACGGAGGTCAGAGAGGTACAGTCACCACCCAGGTCCATGGAGCCCCTGGTATCGACCCTGAAGGACACCTCTTTCAATAGGAAGTCCCCTGCTTTTGCTTTGTTTTGACTAGGCAGAAAAGAAGGTCTTCGTTCTCTAATGTCACCATGGTGATGTATGACAACTTTCCTCTGCCCTTGAACCCCTGTTTCCACATCCATAAGGTGACATCAAGAGCCTGAAGGTCACCAGGATGCTCTCTCACTCTGGTCTTTTAGGATTCTGGTTCAAGTTTGCCAGCAGGCAGCTTTAGAAGGTGCGTGCTCAATTTGACAATCTAAGTTTCTCTTTGGATGGAATTGGTTTCTTCCCCACCACAAGTGTGTGAAACACTTCCCTTAAACTTAGTTATAGGTAGGTGTCATACTGTGTTTGAGTTTTCCTTAGCATGGGGAATAGAATGTGTTTGTGTGCATGCTTACATGTGTGCCTGCATGCATGCGCATGTATCCTGAAGAACCCAAAGCTCATGGGATGCTCTTTGAACTGAAAATCCATGAGAAGATGTGAGTGAGCCTCTTGATAACCTCTCCCACTGTAGTTAAATTGGCAATGAAAATGAACGAGCAGTCAAAATAGCTTAGCGACTCTCTCTTTGATAAGCGCACATCCATAATCTATCTTTCTTTTTGAGAGTCTTTTTCTCTTGTGCCTAAAATCTATATAAAAATCTCTCTTAAGAAACATGATTTTTTTTTTAAAGTAAAATATTTTCAGAGGCAGTGTTGGGGATGGAGCACAGTCGTGGAAGGCTCGCCTGGCTCCCAGGAAGTGCTGGATTCTGCTTCCCCTTACCGCAAAAACTGGCCATTGTGGCACATGCCTGTCACTCCAGCACCCTGGTGGGGAGGTCGGGAGGATCAGAAGGTTAATGCCTTCTTGAAACGTCTTGCGTATGGGATTACACAAACTCCAGTCGCATGCGGAATCTGTGGGGTACGGGACCCTGTTTTTCCAATATCATCCATGGCGATGATAACAACCCAACACAGAGACTCTAGAAGAATGACCAAGATGTGGGCTCCACACAGACAACAGAGAATGAGACAATTCATTGATGCTGATGAAACCAAAAAACACACGCACTGGGCCAAAGGAAGAGAATGAGGAGGAGGAGGAGGAGGAGGAGGATGATGATGATGATGATGACAGTAACAATGAAGTCTATTGAACATCTGTCTACTGGTTTTACTGGCTTTAAGCTCTTCGAATATGTTACTTCACATAATGGCCATGGAACCCCAAAGAATATAATGTTTCTATCCCCGTTTTATAGATGAAGAAACTGAGGCCAGTGATGTTAAATAACTCTCAGGGGTCATACAGCCAGAAGACTTAGGCTTGAAACACATGTCTGCCTGAGTGGCGGTTGGTGGATCTAGTTCATCTCCACAAACAGCCTTCCTAGGGAGTTACTTCTGCTCCCACGTGATATGTCAAGAAACCTGAGACTTAGAGAGGCTTCTCTAGAATCTCTAGAAGCGGAGATTCTCAGCTGAGCTTGGTGGTATATAACCTGTAATCCCAGCATTCAGGAGCCTGAGGAGGAAAGATCTATGGGATACTGGGATACTGTCTCTGAAAAGCAAGTAAGGAAAAGCAGAGAATTCCATATGACTTGCGGAAGACACCAGGTGTGCAGGTTGGCACAAGCTCAGGTCATCTAAGAAGAGAAACTCAATGGGAAAATGTCCCTATCAGATGGTCAGATAGGCAGCCGCTGGGGTGTTTTATTTGATTAATGATTGATGAGGGAGGGACCAGTCCACCATGGGTGACCCAATGTCTAGGCTGCTCGTCCTGGGTTGTATAAGAAAGGGAAGCTGAAGAAACCAGGGGAAGCAAACCAATAAGCAGCATTTCCCACTGTCTCTTCTTCGGTTCCTGTCTTCATTTTCCTATCTTGAGTTCCTGCCCTGACTTCCCTTTGGGATGGACTGGAAGCTATAAGATGAAGTAACCCATCACACACACAACACACACACACACACACACACAAGAGTGAGAGAGGAGCAAGAGAGCCATGCCAGGCATATGAACAAAAGCATCCTTGCTGAGACTTAGAATCTTCTTTTTTAAAGATTTATTTACTTATTAATTATTTATTTTTATGTGCTTTGGTGCCTCACCCGTCTGGCTGTGTGAGGGTGTTAAATTTCCCTAGCACTGGAGTTACGAACAGTTGTGAATCACCCTGTAGGTACTGGGAATCTAACCCTGGTTCTCTGAAAGAGCAGCCAGGGCTCTTAATTGCTGAACCATTTTTCCAACCCTAGTTGTAGGCTCTTTAAGGAGCAGAGAAATCCCAGTGACTGGCCCTAGAACAGGAGAGCAGACTCCCCTAGATCCCAAGCTCTCTCCTGAAAACCATAGCAATGGCTGCAGAAATGAGAACGATGCGGATGTTTGGCTTCTGCAACTGTCCTTCTGTCACTAAACCAGCATTTCAGGGAGCTTAAACGCGGAAGGAGAGAAGAGGAAGGTTAACAGATTTTACGAAGCAGAATCTGTTATCGGTGCTTCTCCCCACAGTGGGGGTTCGCTGCTCCTCCTCTGTCACAATATCCTCGTTATGATGACAACGCACTAATACAATTATTAAAATCATGATTACCATTGTTTACCAATTTACACAAGTGCTTCCGCAACCGCAAGGTTCTCATTGCTGTAGACAGAAGGGGCTTCCGTTAATGAGCGCTGATTTGGGTCCCGTCAGCTGACGCTTTGATGTGTTAATTGCGAATCATTCTAATCTTATTATTAAAGAACAACTTCGGGCGGGTGGGGAGCCCGCCTGGAAATACCGCATGTACTGGAAATTGATCTGACACCGTGGGTTTGGAGCACTCGTGTAATCTCCACTTCTCCAGCTGTTTATTAAGCAGCTACTGTGTTCTCTGCACCTCGGCTGGCTTAGGGGACGGAGAAGATACCGCAAACGTGTCACCGCTATCAGATCTCAGTGTCTAGCCGAGCGTATGAGAGGAACAGGGAGCAGGATTTGAAGTCAGACATGACTGCGTGTTCTGTGGGACCTCGAGCGGATTACTGTCTGCCATTCAGCTGCAGTTTTGTTATCAACTAGAGATAGTAATAGAGGCAGGATAACAAGAGTTTACACACTCAGACTCTGGAAACAGATAGGGTTCTGGCAGCTCTCAGCTGTTTGGATCCCAGACGTGGGATTTAGCCTCTCTGCACCTCAGGTCCTTATGTAGAAATGAGGATAGTGGATCATTCCTGTCTCATGAAATTGCTGTGACAATTATCTGAGTTAATGGTATAAAGAGCTAAGAAGGGGACCTGGTAAAAACTAAAGGTTTGGGGGCTGTGGTGGAGACAGCTTAGTCAGCAGTCACAGTATGAGGATCTGGGTGTGGGTCCCTAGCATGTGGAGAAATGAAGTGGCTCAGCAAACAAAGGTCCTTGCTGGCAAGCCTGACAATCTGATTTCAAGCCCCGTCCCCCATGGTAAAAGATGAGCCCTAACTTCTTTAAGTTGCCCTTTAATCATGACATGTATATACCCACCCCTCTATAAACACAGCATAAGTAAATAATTGTAATGAGAATAATAAGGAAAAAGCCAGGAGACGTGACGTGTGTCTATAATCCCAGAGCCAGGGAGGCAGAGGCAGGGGAAGCCCTGAAACTTCCTGCTCAGCCAGTCCAGCTGAATCAGTGACCTCCAGGGTCAGGGAGAGGTCCTAATTTCAAAACTTGAGGTGGGGATAAGGTAGTGGTGGAACGCACCTTTAATTCCAGCACAGTGGCTGGTGGATCTCTGAGTTCAAGGCCAGCCTGGTCTACAGAGCAAGTTTCATCTACACAGATGAATCCCTGGCTTGAAAAAACAAAAACAAACAAACAAAAACCAAAGCAAATAAAAATAGCCAAACATAAGGTGGAAAGTAATTGAAGACATGAGATATCAACCTTTAGTTTCCACACTTGCACATGTGTATCTGTACATACATGTACACACATACATAGTGAAAAAGTCAAAAGCTTGATAAATAAGCAGAACCTATTTCACAGTACTGCTTACAATGTTTAATGGAATAGTGCACAAGGTTACCTACTACAGAACTATGCATACAACATTCAACTAATACCCTGTGTCTAGTCTTACCTTTCAAACCTTGTAGCCAGGAACATGAACTCATGTTTCAACCTTCAAAAAACAAAACCTTGTGCTTCTTGTGGTGGCACACATCTGTGACTCCATCCTTCAGAAGGGTGAGTCAGCCTGGACTGCATTGGTGATCCTGCTCAAACAGACAGACAGACAGACAGATAAAGAAGTAAACAAAAAAACAGATAAGTAAATAAATGAGCAAATAAATAAATAGGTAAAAATGAATAAATAAGCAAACACATAAAAAGCAGAGTAGCAAAAGCACCCCATTTCATAACCCTAGCATTCAAGTCAAGATGAGAATCAAGTGTCTACAGAGTGTCAGGTTCCAGCAGGCCCGGCCAGAGATAGTCTCGCAGTGGAGCTCTTATTAATCTTGAGAGTTGTCTTCTCAACTCCATTCAGCTGAACCTTGGACAAATCATTACTGGCACCTTTTTTTGTTCGTTTGCTTGGTTGGTTTGGTTTGGTTTGGTTTTAGTACAGAGGGTGTGTCATTCAGCAAGGCCACAGAAATTTTATCTCCATGGAGATGACCCTAGACTGTGAATGCAGACTCATTTGGGGAAGACAAATTCTAGTGCCAGGAGATCCTTGAAGTTGAGACAATAATAAACACGCCCAGAGAGGAGCTATCCTGTGCCAGCAGCCCCCTGGGAGAGGCAGTGGTTCACATTGGCAAAGGCCAGGAGGCAGGAGAGCCAGCACTGAGTGAGGAAGGAAGACTCACACTGAAGAGAAAGTCAGGGCCTTTGGGGGATGCTGAGAATTTGTTTGAGCTCTCATGGGAGGTGTTGGGTCTTTGGCACGGGGAGGGGGACCAGGTCTGGTTTAGAACCTATGGGATGTGTGCAGGGAGAGGGATTGAAGGTGCACCAAGGCTAGGGATCCATTGGTATGAATGGAAAGATGAAGTGGTGGAGAAGACTGGAAGCCAGTGGGCTCTGGAGGAAGAGATGCAGGCTTTGGTAGTTGAGACCCAGAAGTTACAAAAAGGCATAGAGCATCGTAACTCCTTGAAGTTTTGTCTGCACAGTGGAAGGTGTCATTTCTAGACAGGCAAGAACGAGGGAAGAGTAACTCGAAAAGACCAGTGCAAGAGTAAGATGGGAGAAGGGAGATAGGAGGTCGGTGAGACATGTTTTGGGGACATGTAGTCACCCAGGAGGAGATGTCTGGAGCTCAGGTAATGTGACTGAGGCCTGGGTAGAGGTGGATTCATTCAGGGATGCTACAGAAACCGTGGCACTAGTGGAAGTTTGTTTTCTATATCCCAACCTCAGTGTGGCCATCTTTGGCCCTCTGAATGAGCTCCTGTCCTATCATTGTAGGTCCCTTTCCTGTGGATCTGCTCTGCGCCCTCTTCTCTGCTTGGTGTGAAGTCTGGAGCTGCTGTACTTGACCAAGCTGGCGAGGGACTTTGAGTCTAGCCCTCCACAGTCTTTCATGTGTCCTTAAGTCCCAGGGACATTTGAGAGCAGCTGTAGTCTCCCCTGGACATAGCTATGGGAGTCTCACTGATGTCATCACGGGCCAAGCTGTGCAGACTATCAGCCAGGAAGAAGCGCAGTCCAGAGCAGTCCCATTTTTCTTCTCCCTTTCTCCAGAAGCCGAGCTGAGCTGGCTGCCTTAGCAGACCCATCTCTGCCAACTCAAAGCTAAGCTTTGAATTTCTTTTCCAACAACTTACAGAAAGTTTCCCTAAAGAAAGGCTGTCATCTGGGAGCCCAGCTGGCTGGCTTTGTGATCTTGGGCAAGTCACTTAACCTTTGGGAGTCACAGTCCCTTTATCTGCAAAACGAGGAGGTCGGAGGGATGTTGGCTATGCACTCTGTGGCTCTAATGATGGGGTTTCTTGTAGCAGAGTCTTTCCTGTGCTCCTATTAAGGAGAGAGGCAGAGAGAGGTAGGAAGGATCTGCCTGCACCACAGTGCTGCCTCCCAGAGCCATCCCTGGAGCATGTGGGCTATCCTTCATCCTGCCCATAGGGGCTCTGCGTGCCTTCAGAAGTGGGAGCTGACAGGGGCTTGTTGAGCACCTACTAAAAGCCCAAGCTCAAGCTGTTGGTGAATGGGAGATGATTAATCAAAAGAAGCAAGGAATTAAAGAAAAAAAAGATGATTCACTTCCTGCTTTTACGCTCTCATTGTCTAGTCAAGCATAACATTGCTGACCTCTTGGCGTGTGCTCACAAACAAATGTGCGGTAAGTATGTTGCGTGTTTAACTCTCTTTTTAAATGCCAGATGCTTCTTCCTTTATCAGTTTCAGAAAGACCTTGAATTCCAAACAACTTGTAAGCTAAACAATGAGGCTTTTAAAAATTATTTTTTGAACAGATAGATTGTTATGTATTTTACATTTCAGCTCTCTGTTTTTCTGTTGCTGGTGGGTCTTCCTTTAATGCTCAAATTGAGTCATTTTTACTTATGGGCAATCTTTTATATTGGCTCCTCTGCCCTTTACTCTTGGAGTCGCTGCTGCTTGCTGCAACATACTTTATGATACAAAAATATCAAAAGAGAACCAGGTGTGATCATATGCTTGGAATCCCAGCAAGTACGAAGTAGAGGCAGGAGGATCAGAAGTTTAAGGTCAGTTTCAACTATGTAGTGAGTTCAAGGTCAGCCTAGCTACTAAACACAAACAGGACTGGAAGGGAGTTCAGCTGATAGAGGGCTAGTCTAACACGCATGAAGCCTTGGGTTCAATCCCCAGCCCCACATCAAAATGGACATGATGGTACCCATGTGCAATTCTAGCACTCAGAAGGCAGAGCTGACAGATCTGAAGTTTAAGGTCATTCTTGACTCTGTGGTGAGTTTGAGGTTACCCCAGGCTACACAAGACCCCGTCAAAATAAGCAAAGAAACAAACCACAAAAATTCCGAAGAGAGATGTTGTTACCATCTGTATTCTCAGTGATGAAGTAGAAGATGCTGTAGCCCACGTGGCCAATGGCAGACAGTGAACCTGGGGTTTGATCTTCGTCTATCAGCTCCAGACCCTAGGCTATTTGAAAGGGTCAGAGAAACACAAAAGAAATAATTAAGGCCGGGTGGTGGTGACACACCTCTTTAGTCCTACCACTCAGGAGGCAGAGGCAGGCAGATCTCTGAGTTCGAGGCCAGCCTGGACTACAGAGTGAGTTCCAGGTCAGCCAGGGCTATAAAGAGAAATCGTGTCTCCAAAAATCAAAAGCCAAACAATTAATTAAGCAGGTCTGTGATTTCAAGTCTTGAACTCTGCAAGGCTCACTGTGGTTGCACCTGTTCTTGGGGTGGGATTGGGAGGTGGCATTTTTCTGTAGGGCTCTTTGCAGTTGTAACAGTTCTTGGAATAGGGTTGAGCATGGGATCTTTAAGAGCTGTCTAGTCATGAGAGCATCATCTAATAGACTGGAAGAACTGCGCCAACAGGTGTGCTTGTGAGCATTGACATGGGCTTGTCTCCTCTTATTCTCCCTGGCTCTCCATAGGTTTATGCTTTCTTCATGATGGCAAAGCAAGAAGGCCATTGCCAGATGCTGATGACTTATGGTTGGATTTCCCCCAGGGCTATCAACCAATAAATTTCTGCTTCATACCAGAACTTGGTAGAACTTCATACCAGATTTTGGTAGACCAGGCTAGCCTCGAACTCTCAGAGATCCACCTGCCTCTGCCTCCTAAATGCTTGCATTAAAGGTATGTGCCACCATGGCCTGATGGTACTATACCATATTATTGTTTTCATTTTATACTATTGTTGGCATGATTGTAGTGGAACTCGATATAGATATTAAATAGTACGTTTATGGAATATTTGTAACCAGATGAGAGTACTCGTGTGTGTGTGTGTGTGTGTGTGTGTGTGTAGTAAAGTTTTATTTAGTTGCAAAGAAGAATGAAGTTCTGTCTTTTGCAAGAGAATGGATAGAACTGGTATCATGATATAAACCAAATTAAACCACATTCATAAATATTGTGTGTTCTCTCTTCTTTGCTGAAGCTATACAAACAAAACCAGGGGAGGCATTAATAGGGAAAAAGAAGGACCAACAGGAAGGGACAATGTAGGCAAATGAAAGGTGAATATGACCAATGATGCAATGATATACAAAGACCATATGATAAGGTCTGGAAGTGCTATATTGAAACCTACTATTTTGTACATTTATTAAAGGGCATTAGTAAAATAAATAAGTATCAAGAAAAAGATGTGACATGCACAGCATTATATGATGAACACAAATGACTGGAACTGTGTGCATACGAACACTCAGAGGTTGGCAGCACACAGCCAGCATGGCGTCAGTCAGGTCTTTCTTCTAGGCTGGCTATCATTTTATTTTCCTTCCTTTTTTTCTATCTTTTAGCATGGGTGTGTCTGACTTTTATAATAGACAAAACAAAAGCTATATAAAGTTCAAAGCTGGGTGTTATTTTTGCCACCTAAAACAGAGCAGGAAAGTACCCGTGTGTGTGTGTGTGTGTGTGTGTGTGTGTGGTGTGTGTGTGTGGTGTGTAAAGTAACTGGGGGAAGGAGGTGTAGGGGTGTATTACAGAGGAACAAGTAAGAGATGTTGATGGGAGATGGTCCCTAACCCAGTGACTCCTGTCTCCTTCCTCTAGAGCTATCTGGCAGAGTAGCTAGGGAGAAGTCCTGGGGAAAAGGCAGTGTCTAGCAGTTTGGGGCACTGGTGTACTGTGCAGTCAGCAGTGGCTTTGATCTGGTTAACCTTTCCAGGGTCAGGCTGCTCTGACCTAGCTGTGTTCTCACCCCAGAGTTACAGCCAGGTCAGCGCTCCCATTGTTCTGTTGCCTGCATTAACTGCGGGCCAAAGAACAAGCTGGCCGGCTCCCCACAGCACTGTGTCTCTCCAGCCCAAGCCAGCCAGCTTTATTTCCTCCACTTGGCTCCCTTTGTGCCTACTCAGGGGGGGAAACACTTGCCTCAGTTTCCTCACACCAGTGGCGTCCTCCTCTTCCGGTTCATAAGCACTTTGTCACTGTGACCCCAGGGGTTACTTGGGACTTTGATCTTTCCTACCTAGAGTCTAGCTTTCCACTACGGTGAGAGAATGGGAATGGCAGAGTCAGGAGTTAGGAAGCACTTAGCTACCTGAGGCTTGGGGACCAGGTAGGATTGGCT